AGCAATTTAAAAGTGCTCGGGGCTCCCAGCTGTGTGGCAATGGCAGCCATGAAGGGCTGGCTGCGGGAGTCTGGTCCCCAGCCCCACTCCTTCCACCCGAGGCCCTGCCCCTTCGGTGGGGCCAGAGCCACCCCCCCCCACCTTACCCAGGAGGGACCTGGCGTACCGGTAAGTCCCTCAGCTTACTTTCACCCCTGCCTAGAATCACGGTTAAAGTTGTCCCCAGGTCCTCTCCCCCCAAAAAAATCTGAAATGGCACCTTGGTGAGCCAGGAGTGGCTAGAGGGCTGTGGGAGGGCCATGGGCTCTGGCAAGCTGCAGCTCCTGTGTGACAGCACAAAGCCCTCAAATTAATCTCCTATCCCCCCATCTTGGAGTCACAGCTCTCCCAAGCTGCTCCAACTAATTCCTCCAGCATTTGGTCTAGCTACACCTCACACCAGGAATACAGCTGGGGACGGTGCATACAGATCATTTCCCAGTGACTATTGACAGCCCCATGGGGGAGGGTTAAGGTTACACTGGCCTGTACCTTACCTCTGTGTTTCTTGGTTTTCAGAAGTTTGAGTTTTGATGAAGTGAGAGCAGGTGGGGGAGATAAAATCTTTTATGGGACCAACTCCTGTTGTTGGGAGAGACGAGCTTTGGAGCTGCACTGAGCTCTTCTTCAGGCCTGTGTTGCTGGGAAGCTCGTCTCTGTCCCCAACAGAAGTGGATCCAATAAAAGATCTCACATCATCCCCCTTGTCTCTCTAATAGACCGGGGCCAACATGGCTGCAACAGCACAGCAAATCACTTCTGATGAACTTGATGTTTTGGAAGGTCACGATCTTCAGTGGGAAACCGGAACTTCCTTTTTGAAATCACGACTGGATTCAGAGTCAGTTGTTCATCCAGTCATGATTTCAAAGAGAATCTTCTTCCTGCTTTTGCTGAATCTAAAAACTAAATAGCAACTCACCCACCCTCCCCGCACCAACACCATCAAACCCCCTTTTGTTCCGGTTTCCCACACACTTGCGGTGCAGCAGGACTGGGGCTGTTTCTTTAAGAGAAGACTCGAACCTCCCCACGTGACAGGGTTTGGAATGAGGCAATTGACAGTGTTACTTTCACTTTCCCCAGGCGAACGCTGCGAGCCGAGCGCAGGTTTATCAATTGGGAACAAAACCACGTTGCTTTTAACACCGTTCTACGGAAAAGCCATGAGACAAAACTGCAGCTCCTTGATCGCCAGAATTAGATAAGCAACCGTGAAAAACGGGAACAGCCAATGAACGTGTAACTGTCCCAGCCAGAGGGATGAAGTCTGATCACACCCGGCAGATTTTAAACTTCTCAGACGACCCAATCAGGTGGGTGAACTTTGCTTCAGAGGGACTGTTTATAACGTCTAATACACGGTACTTATTGCTTGGACTGATTATTCCAGACACAAGGAGTAAATAATCCTGTGATAATTTGTTTCTCTCTTTTTGGGAACTTGACAGTACAGCTACATTCAAAGTGATGTACCGTCAAATACGTTGCAGTTTGTTTCATAGCAATGTAACACGTGACCTTTACAGCTTGTTGAATTAGTCATTTCTTTGTTTTGCTGAATTTTATTCAAGAACAGTGGGCCCAATTCTGTTCTTGGGGGAGATTTGTAACTTCCTATATTTTGAATACAGGAAACTTACTTCACCAAACCCAGCTGCCATCAGTCTAGTTTTCTGCCTGTGCTGTCATTGCAGTTTTCTGCCTCTTGATTGGGGGGCGGGGTGAATCCTTTTCTTCTTGTAAAAAATAAAATTATGCTCAGAATTAATCGAAACAGAAAACAGCCTCCTTTTCCTCTTCTGAACTCAGTGGGAATTAAGCATGTGCCTAAAGTTGATCCTGTGTTCAAGAGTGTCACTGGGTAGGGACTTCAGGCTATATTAAAAAAGGGAAATTTATATATTGTGTAACAGATTATCTCCTCCTGTGTGCAGGGCTGACGGGGGGGGGCGGGGGAGAAAGCCGGTACAAATTACCGGGGTCCAGAAGAGTGCCAGGGGCCCGGCTTCCCCGCTCTCGTTGGCCCTGTTTAGCCGGTCCGCCCTTGCTGGGGGTTCCGAAAAAATTTTTTCACCGGGGCCCGAACCCGCTCTCGGCGGCCCTGCCTGTGTGAAAAGCCATTCAAAGGGCAATATCATGAAGAAACCTATAGGAGTACAGCTATTTAAAATGGTAGTGTTGTTGGGAAATTATGTTTTTGTTTTGTTTAAAACATTTTGCTTATTTTTAAATTTTTAATCACATATTAGTGCACAAAATATTAGATTTTAGTTTTGCTTTTTCAGTTTTCATTTTTTCTCCCATTTCTCCTTTGAGACAGGATAAAGGATGGATGAATAAAATGTTTTTATTCCATTTGATTAGGGTTTCTCATTTTGAATCAATTTGAAAATTTTTTTCATTTAGCATCATTTTGTTGAAAAATTAGAAACATTAAAATAACAGGAAAAATCAGGTTTTTTTAAAAAATTCTAAAAGCCATATTCTATTGAAAAATCATTTTTGTTTAAGTATTTTTGACCAGGTTCAGTATTGTCAACTCTCATAGTTATTTGTGATTTTTGTGATTTTTATTTTGTCTCACAGTATTCGGTAATTTTCTGAAAGCCCTAATATTCTAGTTTTGAGTTTGTGATAATATTTGATTTCATTTAAAGTAAAAAATAAATTTCTAGCCTTTATAGTTGCAGGGGAAAGTTTAAGATTGAGTGTACCCTCAAGTCTCAGAAACTAAATGGCAAAAAATAGGAACTCAAAATGTATATTTAAAATACTGATTTTTAAGTCAATCACATACCTTTTTAGACCCAATTTGTGATTTTTTTTTTAAATGTGTGTGCATGTGGGGGGATTTTTTGTATTGATTTTCATAAAGCAACAAATATTCTAAAGCACAAAAAAAAAACACCCCACAAAAATGTACAGCTTGTATATGTTCCCATAATTAAGCAGTTATGCAGTTTTACAGCTAATCAAAGCTACAAGACCAGACAATCATAGGCACGGGAAGTAGGGGTGTGTGGGGGGTGCAGTGTCCCTGGGTTTTATGCGGGGCTCCACTCCTGGTCCCAGGGCTCCAATCCTGGCCCTGCATGTGGGGATCCACTCCTGCCCGCCACTAGCTGTGGCCCCAGCCTCTAGTCCCTTTACCCCTGTCTGTGCCCCACCCTTCTGGAGATACAGCCCTGCTCCCAGCCCCAGCTCCGAGGGGAGGGCGTGTGGGGTGTGAACAGAGGTAAAGGGGGAACAAGGTAAAAATTTTGGGGGCACTTTCACTGACTTTCAGCACCCCCACTGTAAAAACTGTTCAAGGGCCACTGCAGACAACACAAGACCAGACAATACCACACACACCTAACACAC